AACCCTATTTGTTGCGACTAAATAGCTTGCTTGCCTGAATCTTACAGCAGTTCTGTGTTCTCTAGGTCCCTAGGATTTGGGCTGACAAGGTAAAACACGCAATTGGAAAGCTCGGGCAGTTCAATAACACGATGCCATATGGTACTGTCTCAACAGAGCGGCCACGACTGACGCCTGCGCTATCTTAAGGGTCATACTGGCGGAACCTTAAGAAACTCCCATATCACCACTAGTCTCAGAAAGGGTGCATCACTCTGAGGAAATCTGAACCCTCTACGCAGAATTCTAAAACTGGCAAAACTCTTCTGTCAAAATGATAGAGCCCATTCATTCCCGAGAGTCCTATACTACGAAGCCAGAAAAGGGTAGATACCTACCTGATTTCGCAATACTCCCCAAGAATCCCTAAGCTTCCGCGGAAACGACCCTCTTTGGACCCACCCCCACCTAAGCACCTGATAATCTACCATGAAGACCTTAGCTCGCACATCGCAATCCCTCAACCCCGAAGAATTCAGAAAGTGGGGGGGTAGGAAGCTTGAAGGGGGAGCTTGGAAAACTCCAGGACGGGCGGCTTCTAGTAGAAACTATTTTGAGAACCTCCAAATAGAATCTAATCCGTACAATCCTTCACCCAGAATTCCTTTGTAGATCCCATATACCCTAGAATTTCTGGGGGCTCTTGTTTTTCTTTCAAATTGGGAGAAGTGTGACCAAAACATGCCAACACCAGATTTCCGAAACCCTAAACCCAAAATTGTCAGCAAAGACAAGGACAGATTGAAATCCAAGCGTTTAAATGTCCTGGTAATGTTTCTTCTTTTGTTGAAGTTGGGTGCCCAAAGCTACATGCTTCCCAGGGTCTTGAAAGACAACTTTGGGCCAGGCGCCCATCCAGCAATAGTATAACAGGGTGTACTATTTCAGGGACCCTAGCCTACTTACCATTATTCTTCTGCTGCCTCCTGTACCCATATCCCCAAAGTATGCAGTCAAAAGGCTGATTCAGTGCACGAACGCGGAAGCCTGGGTAGGCGTGAGCCAAGGAAGTTTAGGGATTATAGTTTACCCTAAGTAGGTGGAATATGGCTTTAGGCATATTATAATAAGATCCCCATATACCCCGTGTTCTATCTACTTAAGGGGGACTATACGTTCTGGGTTTCAGGATATAGGGTGTAGAGTTCGGGGCTTAGGTTTTGGATCAGGGTTTAGGGATGTGGTGTTTATGGCCTGAATAGGTCTCAGGGGAATTCAGGTTTAGGGATGGCGGTGTAGGCTGCAACGTTCAAGGATCTGCGTCTAGGATTTAGGTTGTGTGGCTCAGGGATCAGGGCTTAGGGTGTGTGGTTTAGATATCAGGGTTACTGTAAGGGATTCGAGCTGAGGTTTAGGGTTTAGTGGCCTGGGGGGTACGGGGAGTTTACATGGGGCTTCCGCTGGAAGGATTGGGGTGCAGGTTTTAGAGGCTTAGAACTTCAGTTTGGGGCTTCAGGGTCTGGAGTCTAGGCTTCCGAGTGCGTTCTAGGATTTGACACTTTGCAGGCCTTATTGGCATGTTAAGGTGTACCCCAAACCCCTATAAAACCCTTATCATCTCCTATATTCTCTCCCGACGTATTCGCCAACATTCCATTTTCTTTTCCATGTTCTTTTCATTTTCTTTTCCATTTGATTCTCCATTATTGGGGGTTTAGGCCCCAGGAAGATTGGGGATGAATTTGCCCAGTTGTTTTCGCTTCCTGCAAGCGGCTGCTAGAAGGTTTGGGATCGCTACATGGTCCTTGTACACACACTCCAACACCTAACCCTAAACCCAAAAACCAAACCGTAAACAAACCCTAAACCCTAGACCCCAAACCCCAAAACCCTAGCATCTAACCTAACCTAACCTAACTCCTAATTCCAGGGTCCCTCAAGATGGCCCTATGAAGCATCTCGCCTCACATGTGATGTCTTGTTCTGTCTATGTTTAACTCTTGTTGTTGGTACTGGTACTGTTTATGATTCTTGCCATTTTTGATACCATTAGTATTACCTAAACCCCAAAAGTATGTAAAATAATAGCCCTAAACCCATAATAACAGCCATAAGGGCCATTATTTTACATACTTTTGGGGTCCAGGTATTGTTCTAGCAATACGGGCCCAAATTTCCCTTGCGTTTTGAGCTTTGACTTGAGACTTGATGTGTGGGACTTTACCGGCAAGCAGGCTTTTACGGGAAAGAAGAACATCAAAGTTCGAACGCAGGGAATCAGAGGACATACGAGCTATAGTCTAAACTCCTAGTATCCCCCTTAAAAGCCCCTATAGTAGTCCCTATATAATCCCCTATATAACCCCTTTTAAGGAGTTTAGACTATAGCTCATACAAGGAACTTTTCACACCTTAAACTTCTGGGTCAGGCCTGGGCCAGGCAAATGTTGTGGGCAAGCTGTTAGCCCTAAACCCTACACTGTGAATCCTACACCCTGAGCCCGATTGAGGAACCAACTAAGGCTCATGTAGAATTGCAAAAACAGTCTGATAAAATCACCATTGAAGAAAGCATTCATGTGTACTTCGTAACAGCAGAGCACATGAGACCCGGCTTCGTGCTTTCAGTGGCCGGGAGGTGATCTGGATTATGCCACGTTTGGTTTTAGTTTTTGGCTCTTTGGCCTGAGTCTTTCAGGGCGTAGGCTGATAGCGTGGACAGTTCAGCTGGGCATCACAAAGTACACTCCTATACCCATGTGGATGTTAAAGGGCTTCTGGGGACCCCTGGGCTATATCCAGGGATTATAATGCAAGGGTCCCCTAGGGGTTCTATCTCCTGAGAAATCCCCATCATATCATCATGATCCTTACCAAGGACTCAAAGGTAAACCAAACATTAAGGTCCTAAGACTAATAATAGTACTATTCATAATACGAATAATATGTATACTACTACTTCTAATAATATAAATGCTCCTGTTGAAGACCCATCACTTCACGAAGTATCGTCAACCACAAACATTAAGCCTTGACGCCTGTAAAATCCTGAACTTACCTAAGCCGAAGCCCCAGACCCCATAAAGCTTGGGCCATAAGACCCAAACCTCAAGGCACTACATCACAACAAAGCCTTTACATCCCTGAAGCCCCCAAACCCGACACCCTAAGCACCACCTAGTTACTTGCAGCTCTTAGCCCCTACACCCTGTAAAGCCCCTGTATCCCCGTCATATCCCATATGTAACTTGAATAATCCCCCTAAGCCTCAAAGCTTTGATTCTGCCACCACTCAGTAGCAGCCGGATAAACATATAAAGCCCTAAGTGCTACCCTAACTTCAGACTGTCATTAGGTGGGGACAGGCAGGACTCAGCTCTATAAGTGCCTATATCCCTACATATTCCAGAAACACACCTTTACAGCCCCAATCTCCACTTCATTTCCATCTTTTCTTCCATTTGATCATCCATTAAACACTTATATACTCTATAGTCCCCCTTAAGTAGATAAAATTTGGCTTTGGGTATATTATAGTAAGATAAGCATACACCGCATATTCTATCTACTTAAGGGGGACTTTATATAGCCCAAGCCTTATACCTTAAACCCTAGTTCATTCACGAGGGGCCAAGGTACGGTATAGCGTTTCGGGCACAAGGGCCGACACTGAGCAACCGAGAGCATCGGGCACCCGCGAGACACTGAGGATTTCCTGGCTACGAAAGTGTCAATTTAAGAAAACTGAGGGCAGATGTCGATAAAGGAAAATTATATGATATAAGGCTTTATAGAGAGATATAGGCCTATTGAACTTGAGTGGAGAATCACATGGAAAATCTAGAAAGTGAAATGACAACGGGTCTTATATAGAGAGGGTTCTATGGATCATGTTATCGCGCTTGTATAGGAGCTGTCTGAAGGTCAAGCTGTAAGGATTCAAATACCCAAACAGCAGGGACTCTACTAAGGCCCCCAAATGTCCCTATAGACGCAGTGGAGCCCATCTGAACTTCAAGTACTTATGTAGAAAATGAATACTTGGACCTTTCTTCGCGGCAAGCTCCAAACCCTCAACCCCAAAGGCCTTTTCCCCAACACTCCACATGCAAAACCAGAACATCGCTCTGTAGGTCTTGAGGCCGTAAACCCCCAAATCCCAAACCCTAAACCCTAAAAGGTTGATTCCATTTTCTTTTCCATTATCCCAAAATAGCCCCGATGTAACTAACCGCAATATAACCCTAATATAACCCTGATATAACCCGAAGATAACCCCAATATAATCCCAATATTTGCATGCCAAAGGTCGCAAGTGCTGTTGACGCAGTTTGTGGCCGCAGTGCACGAGGCATCCGGCTGCGTGCGGATGCGTGTGCCGGGGCCGTCGTCCCGGTACCTTTGAGCAGTGTCGGTCAGTCTAAGGTTTTCTAGGGTTTAGGGCTTTGAGCAGTTAGGATGTGCGGATTGAGGTCTTGGGATTAGGTTGTAGCACTTAAGATTTAAGGTTTGGGGCTTGCAAGGAGAATCTAAATGATGCACCTAGATGCGTGTAGGCAGCATGTGCATGGATGAGAGCATGTACAAATATCGACTCTTTCAAGACAGGCCCAAATGCTGACACTCCCCTGCTATAATTTGCAGAACCTCGATCAAAGCACTATTCGATATACGTTGAACACTATGAAACTCGAGTAAACCAAGGTCATGCAGGGTTATTTTCAGTAACATCATGGTCCGTATATAACCCCTGCAAGATGAAGTCTCATCTTTGGCAGTCGCACGTGAGAACATGTGCTCGCAGCCTACTCTGATCAAAAAGGAGTGACCGTGTGTGAGCTAGCTTAGTTGCTGCGTTCGCCCAGCCATAAGGCCAGCCTCAGCATTCTCCGATCAATTGCTTGAGCAAGTCTACCTGCGAAGCTGAGGGCTCGCATGGTAGCGGAGCCTTCGGTTTGGATACCGTTGGCTCAGAGATCCAGGGAAGCAGGCAGTGAGACGGTACCGCTCTCTCACTGAATATGAGCACCAGCGAAGCCGGTAGCACGCCAAGCAAGAATCGTGAAGGCCCTCCAACCTGGAATGGTGCAGCAGAAACTTTCCAATCTTACGAAGAAGCAGCAAGGTTGTATGAGCAAACAACGCCCTACCAGAAGAGATACCTGTGCGGGCCAAAGCTGCAGAATGCATTGGAAGGTGCTGCGCTCAGATTGGTTGTGGGCAAGCGACCCGATTGGTTGTCAGATGCTGGAGGGGTCAACCGCTTGTTAGCGCATCTGCGTCAGTGCTTGGGAAAGCCTCAGATGCCCGAACTGACAGACCTGCTCAGTCGGTACTTTCGGATGACCAAGCGCAAGGCTGGAGAAACCATGAATGGTTACATCACACGCAAGTGTGAAGTCTATGTCCGTTGCCAACAGGCTTTGAGTAGAGTTCGACCTCATCATAGCCGAGAGACCCCCTGGAAGGATCCCAAGACTCAGGGTGGTGCCGAACTGGTACCAAGATCGGCGTCCGAGCGACGCGTCCTGGTCGAGCTACACTGGCAGCGCAGGTGGAGCGGCTGGTGAAGGCACGGGGGATCAGAAGCAGGAGACCAGGGAACCCAAGCGGCGGCACCCACTGTCAATGAGACCGCGAGTGAGACCTCGGATCCGGGAGCAAGGACTGGGAACGTGGACAGGGATGGTGGAGCCACCAGTGGTATCCCAACTCCTGGTCACGGGGATACGGCAGCGACTGGCAGTGGAACTCATGGAACAGCTCAGACTGGACCTCAGATTCCCGACCAACAACGGACCTTTATGCAGAGGTGGTTCCAGAGTTCATCCAGGCATGGCTTCTCCTTTCCGATGCCAATCTCGAGACGCAGGAGCGGAATCTCATCGTGACTGCCCTCCAAGGAGAGTTGAACCTGCAACGAGTGGCCCAAGAGCTGAGGACGCATTTTCCTGACTCAGAAGTCCAGCGACGCGATGGTCAGAGGCGCCAACATGGGTACTTGGGCAGCATCGAAGAGGAGGAGTCCGAGGATGAGCCTGGAACTGCCGAGAGCCAGTTCCAAGCCGAGACGGAACTCACCGAGGAAGGCTTTGCAGCCTGGACAGAGGCAGAAGTCGAACGCCAGCAAGCTCTCGCTGCGGTGCAGCATGCGAGAAGGACCTTGAAGGGTGCCAGGGAGCGACAGAAGATGGTCAAGCTGAATCGTCAGTACTTCAGAGGTTTTTCCAGCAGCCGGGGTTCGGACACCCGGCCAGATGAGAAGCTTACATGCTTGAGGTGTGGTCAGACAGGCCACAGGGCAGCGAACTGCCCAGCACCACAGCCCAAGGAGGGCAACCGCAAGGCCGAGATGGCACCTTTCGTGTGCTACACATCAACGCCGGATGCCGAGCAGAGTCAGGACCAAGGACTTGATGATTCACCATGTGTATGTTTCACGTGTGGCCCAAGCTTGGAGCAGGCCCTGCAGAGTGGACAGATGCCAGAGACCTCCATGACGACCTCGGAGGCCCTCAACATGGGAAAGGCTATCATAGACTGTGGGGCAACCAAGTCACTTGGCTCTGTGTACGCTCTGGAAAAAGTGATGCAGCTCAGCGCCAATGGGGTCAATCATGTGGATGTGAACGATAAACCTGTCTTTGGGTTTGGAAACTCATCTGAAGACCGCTGCGTGAGCACTCTTCATTTGAATCTTCAGGCAGGGGGCCGACCTGGCCAACTGAAGATACACGCCCTTGACAAGGGCTCTGCTCCCATTTTATTTTCCGTAGCATCACTGAAAGCGCTCGGCGCCGTGATAGACTTCTCGGAGAGCACAATGGCGTTAAGGAAAGTAGATCCCAACCGCCTGTTGTATCTAGAGCAATCTAGAGCGGGACATCTTCTCCTTCCCTTAACGGGTGACCTCCTTGAGCAAGCTGTAGCCACGCATGCCCCGGTGCCGGCCCTCAGCAGTTTTGTACAGTCCTTGCAGCCATCACACGCGAAGGCCAGTCCAGAAGCCTCAGCGGCAGAGTAGGACAGCTCCTGCCTTCTTTGAAGCCTGATAAAAGGAGGGAGGGCAGTGTTTCAAGATCAGGTCTGGGGCGCAACACAACTGAAATCAGTTGTGAGCCACGTGTTAATGATAGTGACCTAGCCGAGAAGTACATTACTCAGGGGAGTAGTGGGGATACTTGTAAAGTGGGTATGAGTGTTTTCGAATCTCACAACAGGCAGACAGAGCCACAGATGAACCAGGGTTCATGTGACCCGGCAGCCAATATCAGTTCAGAAGTGCCATCTACTTCAAGCTCTTGTGACTTCCCCCGTGATCCTCATCATGTCCGACCTGACTCGCGATCAGCTCAGGGCGGCCTTGAAGGCCATGGGCGAAGAGCCGCCTATCGCCTGGACCAAGATGGAGCTCCGTTTTCGGTTGCAGGAGATCACCGGCGAGGACCTCAGTCTCTCCTACAAGAAGCTGAGTCAAGGGCCACCCTCGGAGTATCAGGAGTGGCTTCGTCAGCTGAAGCAAGCCAAGACCAAGAAGGCCACGCTCCAGAAGTTTGTGAGCGACAAGCTCAAGTTGACCAACGTGGACAACATGACGATCGCCCAACTGGAGATCCATGCTCTCCGCAAGATCTACGAGATTGCAAAGCCGCATCATTCGGATCCGCTAGGATTCGGGAAACACGGCTCCAAGAGTTATCTCACTGTTCAGGAGGAGGAGCGGGGATACTGCTCCTGGATCAGCAAGACCGCTCGCGAAGACCCGAACGGTTGCGACCCGCGGCTGCTCAGGTTCAGTCAATGGCTGGAGATGTGCAACAAGGAGGAGATGATTCCAGAGGACAGGAGTGTCACCAAGATCAAGGTGCCGGCTCAGGCGATGAAGCCTCCCAAGAGGGAGGCCACGGCGGAAGACCCCGCCAGCTCCTCATCCCAGAGTTCGACAAATCTCGAGTCCAAGATGGAGGCCGTGCTCAAGATGATGGCCGACTTGAAGGCGAGGTGGACAAGATGAAAGAAGAACAGAAGCCCCGGAAGAAGGGCACGAAGCCTCGCGAGCCGGAGTCCGACACCTCCAGCTACCAGATGGTGATGCAGACCGAGGAGGACTGAGTGATGATGAGTCACCGATCAACAGCTATGAGCTCGGACAGGAAGGGTTGGATGACCCGGAGTTTCCATCGTGTAAAGGTCTCAGTGCCTCCCAACGTCTCAGTCAACAACTTTCCTTAGGTAGGGCTCGCTGTCTGGAGGAGCAGTCATGGGCCACGGTTCCTAAAGTATTTGAAGGACTGGTGACGCTTGGTAGGACTGTGTTGATGGAAGTAGCCTGTAGCGAGAGTAGCTTACTGGCTAAGGAGGTCCAAGAGTTGTGTGGAGATGCGAGTGCAGCTAGTCGTTGCAGTTGGTGGAACAATTGTGATTTGGCCACCGATGCTGGTGTTCGCTTGGTCTTGAATCGGATTGCGATCGAGCAGCCAGCACACGTCTGGATCAGTCCTCCTTGTGGACCTTATTCCCCATTACAAAATGTAAGCTGTAGGTCAGAGGCCCAGAAGGAGGAGCTGAGACAGAAACGTGAAGCTGCAATGAGAATTTACGTAGGCGCTTGCGTTGTCATTCATGATTGTGTTCAGCGGGGGATTCATGTTTCTCTTGAGTTGGCTGAGAAATGCCAAGCATGGAGGCTGCCGATCTTTCAGTCCCTTCAGACCAAGTACAACATGTACCAAGCTGTCTCCAAGGGTTGCCGCGTAAATCTACGGGATAAGGCCGGGGTCCTCATGCAGAAGGGTTGGCGTATTTTGACTACCCACCGTAGGCTCTCTGAGATCCTGGAGCTCCCCTGTAGATGCCCCAAAGCCTTTAAGCATGGGAAGTGTGAGGGTTCAGCGGCATCCAAGAGTGAACTCTACACCAGAGAGTTCGCTAAGCGAGCAGCTAAGGGTATTGTTCAAGAACTGGATTTCACGTCCTTGATGCAAGAGTGCAAAAAGCCAACATGCCTTCCTCCTCAGTTTGGCTTGGGTTCATTTTGTACCTGTAATGATGTGTCGCTCCCCCAAAGACCCCGGAAATGTGGGATGTGTCTGTTGGAAAGGGGTATAGGGGGTGACGAGGATTGTTATAGCCAAGAAAGAGAGGACCCCGAAGGCCAAGGGTTACATGCCACTCAGGACCTCCGAGACCAAGTAGAAAACTACGCAGACATGTTGCTGAAGAATCAGTCTTTTCAACATGAACAATGTGAAGAATTCATCAAAGAACTTGTGCAAGTGTGTGATTGTAGTCAGAGAGCCATTACCAGGAATGGAACAGGGAAATATCTTGTTTTTGGAGCTTACTCCCATGGTAACCAGTACGGGGTCACCCGTCGAACGCTCCTCTTTCCTAAAACAGTGGGGTATCTGCTCTCCTACTTGCAACACTGGAGTAAAGAGACTGTCACGGCTACCTCCCTCGTCCTTAACTTCAACAGCCCGGTGACTTTGCATAAGGATGTGCACAATTCTGCCGAACATCCCAACACCATCATAGGCCTGGGTCAGTACCATCATGGGGAACTGTGGTTAGCTAAGGAAGAGACAGAGTCTCCCAACGCAAATCAGAAAATCAATTCCAACGTGACCACAGGAGTAAAAACTTGCAACCAGGTACTCCCCGATGGCAGACAAGTACCCGGCTATCTACAGGATATTCGTCAGCAGTTGATAAAGTTTTCCCCTAAAACTTGGCATGGACCCCAAGAATGGACTGGGGAGCGTATCACACTGGGAACTTTTGTCACAAGAGAGCATCACATGTTAACCCCCGAAGATAGAGGGACGTTGGAACGCCTAGGGTTTGGTTTACCTTGTCGAACTTCCCCTCAAGCCTGGGTTGCAGAGGATTTGCGTCTAGGTCCGAGACATCCTAGAGTAGATCCGGAGACCTTGAATAAGCAGTTGTATCAACTTCACGCTGCCACGGGTCATGGGAGTATCAACAACTTGGTTAACCTCCTCAAGAAACGTAATGTAGCTCCAGCAGTCCTTGAAGCAGCCAAGAACTTCAAATGTTCAGTGTGTCAGGAGAAAGCAAAGATTCAACCTCGTCATCTAGCCTCCTTGGAACCCTTGCCCCCAAGATTTCATACAGTGTCAACCGATGTAGGGCATTGGAACCATCCGCAAAGCGGGGAATCCATTCAATTTATGATGGTTATTGACGAGGGCAGTAGATTCAGAGTCGCAAAGGCCCTAACTAAAGGATCGAGACAACAACCTAATGCAGCATCACGCATCCAATACATGAGGGAGGGTTGGGCCCAATATTTTGGGATGCCTAGGACCCTTCGTTTGGATCCAGGAGGTGCTTTTAGGAGTCAAAAGGTTGTAGACTTTTGCGATCAAGAAGGAATCTACTTAGACAACACTCCTGCGGATGCACACTGGCAAATCGGGGTATGTGAACAAGCTATCAAGGGAGCCAAGGAGGTAATGACAAAAATGTGCATGAGCGATCCTGAGGTATCCCCCGAAACGGCGCTAGCCACTGCAATCATGACCTTTAACAACAGGGATAGCGTTCGGGGATTTTCACCCGTGCAACATGTTTTTGGTCACAGTCCCGATTCCACGGGAAGGATACTCCAAGGACCCGAAAGGCTTCCAGAAGAGTTTGTGGTTGAGAGTGCTACAGAGGATCTAGAGAAGGCAGCTAGGCTGAGGGCCGAAGCTGAGAAGGCCCACTCTGAATGGGTAGCTGCTCAACGAATTTCTAGGGCCCTGAACTCTAAACCCCGACCCCCATTTAAGTTTAAACCGGGAGATCTCGTTTATTTTTGGAGGTCCCAGGAGGCTGGCCAAAGTAGGAGGAGTCCCGGAACCAAACAAGGTAGGTTCTTGGGCCCTGCCAGAGTACTTGCCACGGAGACCAAAACAGATGAACAGGGTCAACCCCGAGCAGGTAGCAGTGTATGGTGTGTACGGGGCCGGAGTTTGATCAAATGCAGCCCTGAGCAACTTCGTTATGCGTCCGACAGGGAGCATCTGTTAGAGAGTCTTGCGCAGGCGCATGGGCAGGAGAGCACGCCATGGACATATACCCGCGTCGCCGCAGAAATTGGCGGAAACCAGTTTCAGGATGTGTCCGGCGACATTCCTTCATCAACAGAATGGTCAAGAGCTCAAGATGTCCTTCAAGAACTCCCACCAGTGCGATTCCGCTTCCGGGGGAAGAGGGCGCAACCGGAACCTCTGGAGATCCCGGAAGAGGCAGAGAGCGATGGAGCGACAAGCTCGCGTAATCGGGCCATGTTTTCGAACGATTTTCTTTCAAACATGTCAGCCAACGTTCCTGGAGAAAGGTGGTATGATCATGTGCCAGAATCAGCCTGGTTCACAGAGACGTCAGATTACTGGCAAGACAGAGCTGCAGCCATTGAGGTTGAAATTCCACTTCCCGAATCTCGACAAGGCCTGGAACAAGCAACCCGCAATCTTGAAGCTTACTTCACAGGTGCCCTGAAACGACGGGCCGTGGAAGTTTCCGAAAAGCGACTTTCTCCTGAAGATCGACTACGCTTCCAAGAGGCAAAGAGTATTGAGATCAAAAATTACTTGGCAGCTCAAGCTTTTGAGGTGTTGCCTCGTCATCTTCAACCCTCCAGGGAGAGGGCCATACAAATGCGATGGCTGTTGACGTGGAAAGTTAAAGACGATGGGAGCACCAAACCAAAAGCTCGCTGCGTTATCCTGGGTTATCAAGATGAAGCGTACGAGCACCGTGCAACTTCGGCACCAGTGATGACGAAGCAGACGCGTCAGTTGTTCTTTCAACTTGCCGCCAATTCGAAGTGGAGTGTATCAAAGGGAGACATTACTGGAGCCTTTTTACAAGGCAAAGAATTAACGGAAACCTTGTATTGTATACCAACTGATGAAATTTGTCAAGCCTTGAAAATCCCGAATGGATCAGTCACAAGACTTCGCTGTGCTGCATATGGACTGGTGCAAGCACCACTTCAATGGTACATGACGATTGCCGAATTCCTTGAGGAAATAGGTCTAGAACGTCTTCGTTCAGACCCCTGCGCTTGGGTATGGAGGCCCGACAAGAACAGCAAACCTCGAGCAATGGTCGTGGGCCACGTCGACGACTTCTTGTTTGCTGGTTCCGATCATGATCAAGGATGGCAGGATCTAGTCCGTCGCATTAAGGAACGTTTTGCATGGGGTTCTTGGGATGAGGGTGATTTTGTCCAGTGTGGGGTAAGAATACAACAGACTGAGACAGGATTTAAGCTGTCCCAAGAAGCCTATGCCATCACCATCCCAGAGATCCCTATCAACAGTAGTCGACGGAGAGAGCGTAATGAAACCGACCACAGCGTGGGAGAAGTCCAAACTCCGAGCAACTTTAGGGGCAATATCCTGGCATGCGCAACAAGTAGCTCCCCATTTCTCCGCGGAAGTTGGGCTTCTTCTATCTGAGGTCAACACGAGTACTGTCAACACCCTCCTTCAAGCTAATCAGCTAGTTTCATCAGCCAGAGCCCGAAAGAAACATGAAATGCTTGTTCATGGTTTTACAGAGGGAACAGAATTGGGGTGTTACGCATGGGTTGACGCGGCTAATGAGAACCGTCATGATGGAGGTAGCACGCAGGGTATTTTTATAGGCATGGCTCCTGTAGGGATGTTACAGGGAGAACTGAGCCAAGTAACCCCAGTAGCATGGCATTCCCACAAAATTGACAGGGTGTGTAGGTCCCCAGGGGCAGCAGAGACACAGGCAGCTGTAAATGGGGAAGATAACCTATATTATGCTCGGTATCAGTGGGGTGAAATGTTATACGGACTGGGGTGTACTAAGAATCCTGATGCCACCGTCACTCGAGTAGTTGGTTGCGTGATATCAGATTCCCGAAATGTGTATGACAAGCTTCAGAGTGAGGTTTTGACCATAAAGGGGGCTGAGAAGAAAGCAAATATTGAGTTGCTTAGCTTGAAGGAGGCTCAACAAAGGACCAAAGTAATTATCCGATGGGTTCATTCAGAGGCTCAGCTTGGAAACTCCTTGACCAAGAAGCATGGAGGGAAGGAGTTGGAGCTGTTTTATAGAATGAGTCATACTTGGCGGATCGTGGAGGATCCTCTCATGCGGTCCGCTCGGAAGCGGAAAGTTGCTGGTTTGGAAAGCTTGGAAGGGGATTCGAAAACAAATGACAGCAGGACACAGTCCAGTAGTGTACTTCTCGGCCAAAGTCTGGGGTAGACTGGGGGAGAGAAGGGGGCATGCAAGATGAAGTCTCATCTTTGGCAGTCGCACGTGAGAACATGTGCTCGCAGCCTACTCTGATCAAAAAGGAGTGACCGTGTGTGAGCTAGCTTAGTTGCTGCGTTCGCCCAGCCATAAGGCCAGCCTCAGCATTCTCCGATCAATTGCTTGAGCAAGTCTACCTGCGAAGCTGAGGGCTCGCAACCCCTATATAGCTCCAATACAAACCCAGTACAATCCGAATATAGCCCCAATATAACCCCAATAGAGTGCTCCGGCTTCGAACTCCCAACCCTTTGTAGGCCCGCCAGGACGCAACCCCGCACGGCCCAGGAATATGCCCTATGCAAGATGAAGTCTCAACAGCCGAACTGGCTTCCTTTGTTATGAGCCCCAAGCCCACAGGCTACCCCACAAAAAAGCCAGGTGAGGAATGGATCTATACTCCATACCCTTTACAGCTTCTCCCCTACTATCTATCGGCTACAGGTTTTTTAGCCAAGGTTCCTTAAACGGATTCCAAGACAAAGGAGCACAACTTCAGGAGTACCAGCCTGGAGCCCTTGAAATGCCCGTACAAAGTGGCTCTCAGGCCTAAAGTGCGCCCAAGCTTAACTGCTTCATTCTGCGCTAGGATAAAGCCTAAACCCATTCGTTCATTCCATGCACAGAAAAGGCCTACATGCCAAAACACATTTCTGCATGCCCTTCTATAACTGTGAGCCTACATCCTAAGAATCCAGTCCTACACAAACTCCCAGCCCTGGAGACTAAACCTTCATTCCCTACTAACCAACTAACCACAAGCCGGAACCCTGAACGCCGCTCCTGCATTCCCTACTCAAGTGTAGCCCCTAAAGCTCAAACAACCACTGTCAAATTTAGGGTTCAGGGTCTGAACCCTACACACATCTAGGGTTCAGTGTTTAGGGTTTCACGTAAACCCTGAACCCTAAATCCCCAAGAGGCAAGTTCAAACGAAGCTGAGGCGCAGCTCGTACCCCACCGGTTCCCCGCCGTTCATATCTGGAGCAATCCTCCACAGGATGGGTTCGTGGCTGGTTCCACAATAGGATGTCAAGCCTAAACCCTGAACCCTAAGTATGTCCCCCTGAAGTAGATCGAATATGGCTCTGGGTATATTATAATAAGATCCCCTATACCCACATATTCTATCTAGTTAAGGGGGACTATACGTGGAAGCCTGAAGTTCTACTGAATGCAAAGCAGTGACAGGTTCCACTGAAGACTTTGGGTCCAAAGTGCAGGGTTCGGGCTCTTCGGGGCCTCCTTTTTAAGGGCTACAGCGTAAGGTCCTGTAGTTCCCTAACTATACATAGAAAGCCCATGACCATCATGCATGGGACAAATAAAGTACATATACCTGTTACATCACACTTGTAACACAGGTTAAAACTGGGGGCCTTTTGGGGGCTTCAATTACGGATTGGGGTCACGGGTTTAGGATAGAGAGTTTAGGGCCAAGGGCCGAGGCCTCTCGGCCGTAAGTAGGCATACAAATGAGCCTGCCTATACCCGAAGATCCGAGGATATGGCAAGTTGTCATAATTATGATTACCATAACATCGACAACATACCATGTACTTACATGTATCTGTGGGTAGACAATCTCTGGACTGGAATTTGCAGTCTTGACTGAGGCTCAGGCGGATATGGGGCTTTAGGATCAGCGACCGGGCCTATTAAAGTGAACTAGGGCGGTGCACCCAAAGCGGCCTCCTACTTTCAATCCCGGCAAATAGGTGTAATCGCTGGTTATTCGATTCCATCGCTCAGAAAATTCGGCTTCAAATCCAGTCAGCTCTGACCCTCAAAAGATTGGAGGTTTTTTTTCCCCGAACCTTGTCACCATGCATCACCAAAGCCTACAACCACAAACCTGTTTGAATCCTCAACTCCAACCCTGGTCCCTGGATTGCGACTCCTGAAACATGCTGCTGAGGCCTGTTGAAGAAGAATGAGGCTTTGGTGTATACTATAGTTACAGAACAAAGATTATCAGGTGAGAATGCTGGTATTTTCTGGTAATTTTCATGAAGAGGGAGCCCAAGGCAGACCCTAGTATACTTGAATGCTTGTTGTCGAGAAACCCCCCAAACAACCCGAAAGATCCATTAGGCTTTCAACCCGCATAGAAGCCCAGCTTCCGTTTCACTTTCCAGCTGTTGGGGCAATGCTCCCCTAAACCCATAAACTCCTGAAGCTTAAAACCCTAAACCATCAGGCCCTAAACTCACAGTCCAGGAAAGGTAGACGGCGCTGACGGTGGAGAAAGCCGTGACCAGTTGAGGAGGCCACATCTGGTTTGGCACCCCACCTGCCAAATTCAGGTAGGTATATTGCGAAGCACAAGGTGTGTAAATATACTACCCACCAGAGGTTACGGGAAATTTCCTGGTTGCAGCCTGGTTTTGGCCTGCTAGGAAGAAACAAGCCCTTCTCAAGATTCGCTCAACGCTAAACCCTAGACTCGTATGAGCTGGCACCGAACTCTCCTTGGTCAACCCAGCAGGAAATTGGGAGGGTTCGGTGTTGGGTGTCCCACATGGAGGGTCGTATTGGGTACTTAGTATGATGAGGATAACTGGGGTACTATAATATGGATTGTAGCCTACTTCCTCAGTCTCCGAAGCCATCTTTTCCACAACCTAGAGTACCACACCCCACCTCTTTGCCCCTCCAGATGCAGCAAATCCCCAACTCCTATCATTAATGTAGATGCCCATCTAACAACCATGTGATTTGTAGTGTACAGCATACTACAACTATAGAAGGACAATGATGGAACATTTTATCATCTCAGGCTACATAGCGCAGTCACACACAAAACAGTTTCCATGTCATATGCCATTTGCTTGTCCATTTGGTTCTCCACTGCTGGAAATCACTCAGTGAAACCCGGCGCCTTAAAACTTAAGACCCTCAGGCCTACCACGCTGCAGCCCTCCCTACCTAGAATCCCCATAAACTCTAAACCCAAAAAGCCCCACAGCCTGAAGGTCTGAACCCTAAACCTAAGTGCCTAATGTCAAGTTCGGATTAGTAAAGGGGGTCGGATTAGAGCTAAATCGGGCCTGAACGGAATAATATAAGTGGGTACGGATTAGAGCTAAATCCGGGCTGAACGGATTAATAACAACATAGGAACGGAANNGGAATAGTGCATGCTGGCTTCTGGACACGCCGAAGCATAAGAAAACAACAAAAAGACAAAAAGAAGAAAGTCAGAGAAGAGAGAGAGAGCCAGCCTTAGGGTTTAATTCGGCTTGAGAGTCCAGGGTTTAGAGCATAGGGTTTAAGGTTGATTAATTAAGATTTGGGTCCAAGGTTTCAGGTTTGGGGATCGGGATTAAAGGTTCAGGGCGGTACGTTCGGGCTTTAAATTTTATTTACAGCCTCAAGGTTCGGGATTGGCCCGGGCCCCGTAAACAACTTTTCCCGAACTTGATTGGGGCCACCCCGGATTATTCAGATCCGTACTTGTTAGGGGGGGTTTTTCATCCGAGCCCGGCATTAGACCCTAAACCCTTTAAAAATCCATATGGGTGGTTGTCAAAATTATGGTCCCTTTTTGGATCCCTATTATAATACGGCACCTAATATTTGGGGTACCCAAAAAGGGAGAATAATTTGGACAACCACCCATACACCCTTACACACCTTTGAGGATCCTTCAAAAAGCGACCTGCAAGACTCGAGCTCCAGCCGCTGTCGCGGATGCCAGAGGCAACGAGGCTCCGCACCTTGAACTCGTAGAAGACCCCGGTGACCTGGATGCTGGAGGGTTCCCAAAATTAGGGGTACCTTTTGAGGGGATCCCCATTAGGAGGACTATGCTGTATTGGGGTCCCCTTATTTCGGGAAACTACCATGTAAAGTCTGGTGGTCTGGTTTAGAATTTGGAGTTTAGGACGTAGTTTGGGGGCCTAAATAATTACCAACATCATTTTGAGGTCCATTTGAGGTACCATATACTACACTTATACAAGGAATATGGAACCATATTAACTGTTTAAGCCCCTCGGGTAGTTTGTGGCCTTGGGACTGGGATTCATAAAGTTT